TGTCACCTAGACTTCTTCAATTTTGTAACCAGCAGTCGTGACAGACGGCAACTAGTACTTGTCATCTACTTTGACATTTCTAAGGCATTTGACCGTGTTGACCATTTACTGCTAACAAATAAACTGAACTCCTTAGGAATACGTGACCCATTATTAGGATGGCTTAAATCATTCCTTAACAATAGGTCCCAAATAGTTAAACTCGGGTCTGCAACCTCCAAACCTAGCCCTATCACTTCTGGTGTAGTACAAGGTAGTGTCATTGGACCCCTCCTATTTACACTATACATCAATGACATATGCGCTTGCTTCACGCACGGGAAACCATTCATCTTTGCAGATGACCTAAAAGTAGCTTATACATTCCAACGTGATGACTTAGGGAACTTCGAGAATGTAGTGCAGAAGGAATTAGATAAAATGACTGCTTGGTCGTCCCTATGGAATCTCCAATTTAATCTGAACAAATGTGGCTGGATCTGCTTCGGTGCACCCTCAATTGACCTGAAATTAACGCTCCAATCTGCTAACCTAACAAGACTCCGAAGTGTCGTTGACCTAGGCCTGAGGTACTCTAGTGACTTGACATTCTCTGAGCAAGTAGCATCACAGACTAGAAAATCGAGGATGCTCTTAGGATGCATACTCAGGAACTTTCACGACAATGAAGCCAAGCTAATTCTGTACAAAACATGTGTCAGACCACTACTAGAATACTGTCCATTTATTATAAGCAGCACTCGCACACGTGACAAGCTAAGGATGGAAAGTATCCAACGATATTTTACCTCAAAACTACTTGGCTACGATTGTAAGAAAGACTACATCTCACGGTGCATGATCCTAAAACTTGACCCACTTTGGACAAGGCGACTTATTATAAACCTAATATTCTTCTTTAAGGTCCTTCACAAAATATCATTCTCAGGTAACAGGGACATACAATTCGCACAGGAAGGTTCTTACGATCTGCGTAACCAAACTTCCACAGTGACAACTCATTCTTTTAAGTCAACACTCCGTGAAAACTTCTTCACAGTCATGTATTCTAAAATATGGAATAGCCTGCCCCTAGATGTCAGAACTTGCTCTTCGGTTACAAGCTTCAAACGCTCTCTATACAGACTGTTTCACTCTACTGATTATATTAATAAACTATTTACTCCTAGAACGAATCAACTACTAATCTACTACAGCACCTAAAAGACGCACTTCAACACCCTTAGCAATCTAAAAACTATAAATAAACTAGCAGCATGGATGCATAAAGACTTAGTACGGAACATACAGGATTAGTTTACCCTTAGAAATAGGACGTGTCACTCTATTGTAACCTTCAAACGCTTGCTATATAAACTGTTTTGTCCCAAAGACTATCCCTACCAGAACCCATCACTTATTTCTAAAACGCATCAGTCATTAGAACACTAAAACGCTCAGACTCATTAATACACATTATGACACTAAATAAACTCTAAGACTTCGCATAAATACGTGAAAACACAACTAAAACGTACATTTTTACTAATGTATAATATACAATTGACATAAACATTTATAATGCATAAAATATTAATGTCCTTTTCATTTTCACATACTTTCTCTTTCTGGTATTCTGCTGCTCCTATTCATCTTCTGGTCGAGGTCGAACAACCCTGCATCTAAACTGAAATGAGGATTAATTCCAAACCATCTATCTCATAACCACTCAAATTCCATGAACGATCCAATTCTACCATTTGAAGACGCTGGCGAACATGCTGTAAATGAGTATTCATGATCTGAAATGAAGAAGCAACTGGTTTTCAAACAGTTTTCAACATTTTACTCAACTTACGAATACAGTCCGCCATGCAGACACAAATGGAGCAAATGGAGAATTCTGGAATCGACCTCGGCACCATTTGATGCAGTAAAACAACCCAACATGACCTTATCTAGTTTTCGCATCCACGATCAAATTTCTTTCCTGTTATAAAACTACGATAAGACTACTCAAAAATTGGAATAAATATATCACTGATCTCAACATAATACATCAATAAACTTTAAGCTAAGGGTGCTGTTCACAACAAAGTTATGTAAGAGAATTGACTTCAAGTTTTTTTTCCCAGATATCCGTATTACATTCATCTGATATCTGGGTTTTTTAGTGCGAAGACAATATTTCTATATTTCTTTATTTGTTGCACAGACAGACTTTAAAGCAGACTGTTCCGACTGACTCTAATGTCAGAAAGAACAACCGCACTGTAAATTCATCATACACCAAATTATGTGTAATTTATATGATAACTTATCCATGCTTGTACAATTGGTATGTTCCTGCATAAACGGGAAGAAATATATATTATTAACACCCTTGTATTCGATGATGTGGCCGAGAAAGTCTAGTGATTCTAGTCATATCTGGCGCTTTTTAATATTAATGGTAAAACCAAACCGGCGTAACCCTTTAAGTTTCAAGTCCAAGAGTCTAAGGCGAATTTCCTTGTTTGAACTGGCAATGTGCCAGTCGTCTATGCGTGAGTATACAAAGTCGAGACCGCAAAATACTCCGTTAATGAAACCGTTGGAATGTTTGTGCTGCATTCGGAGGCTGGATGACATATGTAGAGATTCAAACAATCCCAATGGTTCAATGATAGCCATCCTCGGAATGTCTTCTGGTACCATAAGGATTTGGTTGTGTGCTTTAACCAAGTCTATTTTCGAGAAAATAGTTGCACGAGATAATGTTGCCGTCATTCCATGTATGTGACGCAATGGATAGCAATCAGGGGTTGTTTTGGCGTTCAGTCTCCGGTAATAACCACTAGGTCGTCAATCGTTGCTATCTTTTTTAGTACCATATGGAGTGGGGATGCCCGTGAGCCATTCGAAGGCCGAGTGATACCAAGAGTGAACATATGATGAAATTCATCTCTCTCCAGTCGTAGCTTGTCAGGAGCAAGTTGCTGTGCTTTACACGTCACGGGTTTTCCTGAGGATATGATGTGATGCATAACATTACTGGTTATACACAGTAAACGAGCAATCTACTTGTCAACAATCGGCCGAAAAGTTGGATCAGCCATCACCTTCTTAACCATTGACAAGCTATGATCTACGTAGGTGACACCTTCAATAGACGGTCTAGGGGCACCGTCTATCAGTCGTTTTCGGTGGACATCTACGGGTAAATCATGTTGGTTAAATGGATCTGTGCCAATGATAGGCATTGTGACGTCAGCGAGAAGGAAAATCAACTGAATAGGTTTGCGTAAGCCTGTGTTCAGATACACATACTTTCTATTCGCAGCCTCTGAGTTGAGGCCATGTTCCTTTTGTCGTTCTGCTACTGTAGCAGGAAGGACTCTGACTTCGGCGCCTGTGTCGACCAAGTACCACGTCTGGCTGACTAAACTGTGGGTAAGTGGTTGGCGACTGCTGCCACCGGCGATGGTTCCTGATAATGTATTCAGGCAGGATAGTCCCCCATGGTCTTCGAATCGTCGACGAAATTACAGGGTTTTCGTCAGAATTCCGCTTCCTCTCTATAAGTATCGTGACATCAACATCAGTCAGGGTATTTAAGTGAAGGTGGCTTGGTTTTTGACCGATCACGTTGGTTTCACCTTTAAGATGAATCTGATAGACGCTAGGAGGAATTACGGGGATTATTTGACCTAATTAGCTGATGGACGGATTCTCATAACTTTACCACTACAGTGTCCCCACTCGAAGTCTGTTCAGCAATTAAACACATTTTAGTGACTGGCTGTGGTGCTATTTCTAGAATTTTATCGACAGAAGTAGCTAATTCATCTAAAATAACACCTCGGAGTGTCACGAGCACAGTCTGTACTGACTACGGCAATTTAGATAAGAGCAGCTCTCTAATGGGTTCCTCATCGAAATGACGTTGATCATTAACTTCCCGGGTTCGGGTTAGTATGTTTACAGTCGATTGGTCTCCTAATTCGACATTGTGGAATAGTTCGTCAAAACTCTGCCGATCCTTGAAATTGTTTCTCTTTGTAAGAGTTGCTTTAAGAACCGTACATGGGTTATCTGCCTCTGGGTTTGGCACATACACAGTTACCCATTTGCTTAATTCCTGCGGCAGAGCGGAGACAACAGTGAACGTTGGTCAGTGATCCCATGTCACTGAATTTAGACTCAGCCACCTCAAACCATGATTCTACACTATCTGGCTAAAATGGTAGGAGCTAAACAGTGTTGCTAGTTGGTCAGATACGGATGCCTTCAGGCGTATGATCACTCAGCACAAGAAGAAATATAAAATGGAACGAACTCACCGGATTTGTTTGCGTATTTCCCAAGGATGAAGTTCGCGGTAGGGCTAACCATTTTGAAGGCTCAGGGTGTTGACGTTCACGAATAGTAAGATTAATACCAACGCAAAATCTGATACCCACGACTTCCATTGTATTCGTTCCGCGTAGGCCAAAGACAAAGCAAAACACCAAAATTGATCGCTCAAATTACGACGTAAATTTCGGGACCAAATTGGAGTGCGATATGATTGCCTAACTTGCTAGGGATCGTACACGAAAGAACGAACGTGTCATGACGGCGTGCCAAATGGCGTGGATGCTTGACCGTAAGCCTTCAACTGAACAGGTCGACCCAAACAGTTAGGGTCAGCATCCAATATTCAGTGATGGATGTCGGGGCTAATAAATCCGAGGAATTACCTACCGCTACACGATAAACATTTGCAGTAAGTGGACATTGCAGTTTTTAATACAAATTCACACATACATATGCTTATTTATAGATATGAACAAGGAATGGAGAGAAACAGATTTTGTGTGTGTTCGAGGAGCTGTACTAGTTCACATTACATATCATAAAGTGGTGTTCATCTTCTTATCAACTTTGAATAAAGCTTTTCAAGTATGCATTTATTATCAATATCACAACTATAAACTAATTCACTAAATTTTTTATACATTGATTTATTCTACATACTCTTAAGTTTTTCTAGTTTGGGACTTTGGAATGTCGACCTCAAGGTCACCCGGTTTACCTTGAATTCTTTATTCACCGGTTGGGTGATGCATCAGGTTGGTGCGTATACGCTAAAACACGTTGAGTTCCGCTAAGTCATTTTCTTCTTACTGCGGTCCAACTATGTCTACTTTGCTACTGTCAAGCTAAAAGCTGTTCACATTCCAACAAGTTTAATTACCGGTACTGCATAACAATGAATGATTTAAGTTGCAATAGCATTTGTCAGCTGCTGTGCTGTCCTCCGTTGCCATCTAAGATTGCAGCTAAGCTAGCTTTTATGCCACCACCCCAAGTTATAAGCTGACCGAACAAATAGATGAGGGGAAAACATTGTACAGCTTTACACTTGCATCATACTTGAAGGAATCATTCATTCATTTCGTACCAGAAAATATGGAATCCATGAAAGCAACCACCAGAAGAGGAAACGAAATTGCAATTCTTTATATGCCTATCAATTCTTCATCAAAACTTACTTTCCTGTTGAGCCATGGAAATGCTGTCGACTTGGGACTAATGTTACACTTCATGTATGAATTGGGGAGCAAGCTGAATGTCAACATAATGTGCTATGATTACTCTGGCTATGGTGTATCTACTGGAAAACCTTTGGAAAAGAATTTGTACGCAGACGCTGAGTGTGCACTGAATGTTTTACGGACGAAATACTCAGTACCTCTAAATCAAATCGTTTTATATGGCCAAAGCATTGGGACTGTTCCAACAATCCATTTGGCCACGCTTCATCGAGTTGCAGCTGTTGTACTTCACTCGCCGTTGATGTCAGGATTGAGGGTGGCTTTCCCAAGACTTAAACGGAACTACTGTTGTGACGTTTTCTCTAAGTAAGTGCCCTATTTTGTTTTTCTTTGATTTTGCACGGCATTAAAGTGTTCGTTCTAGAACTTTCACATGCCTCAGTAACGATTTTGTACACTAAAGCGGCGGTCCCTTCAGTTTTTTTGTGAAATTCGGCATACCTGACAGTTTCTTTACTGTACTTATCTAGAGAGATCCTCTGTTCAGGTATTTGGAGCCAGTGGTTACTGAGGATTTCCGTGGTGTTCGGTATTATGCAGGTCACAGATGGTGATATTAGACCTGGAAGTCGTTACTCCGACATCTAATCTGCTCTAAATGTTGCCGCTTTTGGTGGTACCCAGTTAGTTTGGGTTGCCCTTAGGGATGTGCGTCTACTACCTGAATAATCTGCCGAAGTGTTCCGTGGTCAGACAGACAGTGGTTAAGAGTAATAATAATTTGCATAATGCTCCTGCGTGACCTCCTAAGTATCATATGCACATATGTCTTGAGCTTTGTATTTGAAAATGAATTCCTCAAACGACTATTATCCTTTAACATGCTTGTACTTTCCATTAAGCCACTAGTTATCATACTTTTTGTCTCGATATTTCTCAGCATCAGGTTGTGTGCTGTGTTCGCACGTTATCATCAGTGATTAGTTAGTTAATAGACATAAAATATATATGAATTTGTGCGATAAAGTTACCCATTCATATGGAAATGGGTATAGTATTCAAAATTTATGGCCAGGAAATAATGTCATTAAGCCATATTTTGAAATTAGTGTAAGTTTTTAGTTGGGGATGCTATCTGAAATCTAGTCTGACTTCTTCTAGTGATATAGTATTTCATTGTTTCAAACCATGTATTTGGTAAAACGGTTGACAATTGTTCTTGTACGTTACCAGTGGACTGTTATTACTCTATTACATGCTTTCTATTACATATATTCTGTCACAATTGGAATGCAATGCATTAAGTGATTGTTAAATTACCACCGAAAATTAGTCGAGTCTTAAATGTTCTGTGTTAGGCGTACAGTACTTACTTTACTTTACTTCGGCTATCTCCTACGGGAGGATGAGCCGGCTCCATGAACATCTCGAATCATCGCTGCCCAGGCGCGGCGATCTGATGCAAGGTTTTGCGACAGGGTTATCCAATTCTTGTTCCACAGACGGAGTCCGTAGACGGTTTGTAGCCCAGTCACTCTATATCAGCCTTGACTGTACCAAGCCATGTTTTTAGCTGTCCACCCCTGCGACATCGCCAAGATGGAAATGGCGAGGGATTTAGAACTGATTTGACCAGATCGTCATCTGGTCGGCGCAGAACATGGCCAAACCACCGAAGGCGACGTTGTTGGACCAGTACTGGAGTTTGGTTGATGTTGTAGAGAGTTCATGAAGTTTCATGGGAATTAGGTACGAGTGATGTCTCCAGCATCGCTCGGCCTTTTGTTTGAGAGTGCAGCTCTAACCTTTACACAACCAAGTGTGACCTACAAGGCAGTAGGAGTGGATTAGGGAGTCCACTATCCATTGGCAGCCGGTGACCGGAGTCCGGTTTATACGCCTTTTTGAATGGGGCCCAGACATCCAGAGCATCCAATAAGCCCTTTGTACATAGGTCTGCCGGTGAGCTGCATACGCCAGTCGTTGGAGGTTTGGAATCAGGGTTTAGCCATCTCCTCTAGACTGTCATCCAATGGACAGTCAACCCGGTGAAAAGCGCCGGGCATCCGCTTTTGCCCTCTCACTTCGGTGAAAAACACCTCCGCCACGTGAAGGCAGTGAGTAGGACTTCCTCAGGAGAGGCTATGTAAGACACCCGGTCATATGGGAGCATTTCAAGAGGTGTATGGAGGGGTGGGCGTATAATACTGACTAATTGTAGCCAGTAACAGATATACCCATATTCTGATGCTGCACAAATGATTGTTGATTAATTTTGTAAACATGCATCCGTTTACCTTGAGAGGTAAAATAATGTTTTCTTTTTATCTTTAAGTTCACCAAACCATTTCATGAGTTTTAATTGGTTTTTGTGAGGGGAAACAAAAACACTTGTTTTACATTTTTATAGTGGTGCATAGACTGTTATTAGAGTTTTTGACTTTTCAGAATTTGTAACTAGTTAATTTACTGTAGTTCATTTTTTTTGTCTTGATGTTATCTGCTTTGTTCAAACCCAACTGCCGTTCATCCCTGGATACAGTCTTGCACGCACACCAAAAATTATATCACCTACTCTTGTGATTCATGGAACACGCGATGAAGTTGTGAATGTTACTCATGGTTACCGTATATGTTCTGCTCTGGCAGGTCACTTATTGTTGGATCCTCTTTTCATTGATGGGGCTGGACATAATGACTGTGAACTTTTCCCTCAGTATCTGTTGCGTCTAACTAAATTGGTTACTGTGGAATTACCTCAGTTATTGCTGAATTCTAATCGCTCAGAAAGTGCAAAGCTTCCAACTGCGGAATCAACCAAACTCCTAGGAAAAACTAAAGGAGATAATGAGACAGATTTATCAAATTCGGATTCTATACCAGTTTCTTTAAATTCGCATGGATATTTTAGCATAAATGGTAATACAATTGATGCAGAAGAAGAAAAGTTAACGAAGTCATTTATTTCTCACCCTGATCGTAATGTCGCTTCGAATTCGAAATCCAGTAGAATGAGTGTTGTTAAGGTTTGCGAAGAAGTAACTCTTGATGAAAACAATGATTCTTTCGGAAAAACTAGCCCAGTGTCATCTTTATTGTCGCATGAATGTTCTGAGTTTGTTGACGACAATAGCGTTTCCCTCCTTACTAACAATGAACTTCCGAAGAATTCTTACTATTGTTCACTAAAAACTGAAGTCACCAAAGAATCAATGTTACAAAAAAAAACGACTTACTCCAAGTGTTCATTACCTACAAGGGAATATCCTGATGGATCAGTCGATGAACTTTATTCAACTTCCTCGAACGTTTACGACCTTACACTCCCTCCTCCTCCTCCTCCACCACCACCACCAACAAGTGGCGATATGGACTTCTTTCGATCTGAAGTTTTGTGGTCACTCCATAGTCAGAAGAACGGCAAGACACATACACTACCTCGAAAGTTAACATCAAGGCTTTTAGAGACTGAAATTGATCAGAATAATCCACGTATTTCAACAAAAATGTGGACATTACCTCGTGATTTTCCCTCTGAAAAAGTTGGTCAAATTTCTGATTGCACATTTTTAGGTACAATGCTGAATAGTAATTCTGAATCAGAATTAACATCGGACACTTATGATCCAGTATTAAAACAAGGTTCACCAAGATGTATAAATGAAACTGTACCTACACTAACTTAGGGTCTTTCTTAAATCTTCAGTACACAAAAAAGCTATATTGCAATATATTCAGTCATAATATTTTACCGAATCCCATTTTTATTAATTTGTACGATCTTTCTTAGTCTGTTTTTCTTAGAACTTCTTAATACCGGTACTCTATAACAAACATTCTTACTGCTTTCTGTGTTCCAGATAAAATGTATTTATTGTTTTTGATCTCTTGTTGTAATTATTGCATGTATATGTAATAATGTTGTTTGAGCACCATCGAATTTTTCCATTACTAGTAGCTTATATATGATGCTTACTGTAAGAAGATAATATGTACCGAATAAATATTTAAATGCTTTGAACTGTTGATTACTTGAATTATAAAGTAATAATTACTTTATAACCAACGATTTTTTATTTTTCTGTTTAAGTAATAAGTAGAACGACCTATTTTAGTGTCTGTTTTTGAATAAATAATAGAAAATACGGTTGATCCGAGTAAATTGTGTTACTGGATTTATCACATTTCATCGTCGTAAAACGTCTGTGAATTAACTGAATGAAAAAATTATGTACACCCTTTTTGGTTCTCAGTAAGTCTTCTGGCTGTCGACTCGTGACGAAGTTAGTTAGGACAGTGTCTGAAACAGCTTCTGTGACTTCCATGTACCGGAGTAGATATCACATTCATTCTTTGAGGGCTAGTCATACTACCGAGTCATGTCTGCTGGAGTGGGTGGAGCTGGATTGTCACCACAAACTAGTTGGCTGAAAGTCAGGTGCTAAAGTCAATGTAGACGTCTTGATAGTTGTTCGTTACCAAGATCAGACGTGATCAAATAGGTGCTAAAATTAGTGAAATTTTCACAACAGGTTGTTTTCAATGCTTATCCTGTTTTAGTTTTTAACCATCCGATTAGTTTTGTCAAGGCATTTCAGTGCATCCATAGTGTGGTTGTTAATATACCATTACAAATATGAAGGTATATTTTATTGATTTGAAACACTTGCTTCGATGCAGGTAGCAGGGAGGTAAACACACAGAATTATTAAAACAACAATATAAGCAAAAGAGAATGAGAGAAATTGAGAGGTAGTGTCTTGAAAGCAAGTAAGCTGACTTGTCCATATCATCACTCCGTGTTGCTTTCAAAAAAGAGATGGAAATCGCCATATTGGATTAATCTGTCGTGTCATTGAGTCGGATGACGCCCCGAACTGTCCGCCCAGGGAGTCGTGATGCATCAACTGATACCAAGCCAACACATCCTTCACCCCCTGTCATGAGGCGACCATGTCTCCGCTTTTCCCACTCAGTCCTGAGGCTATCAAATAGTGAATGCCGTGAAAGCTGCCGGGAACAGTGTCCCAAAAGGACATTTATTGGAAAATGACCACCATCTCCAAATATGCTATTGGACTTTAGAATTATGCACACGATGATGGCACCGGATGCAAGCAATTCTACGGAGATACTGATGACCGGACACGAAGGGTCGTCGTACTTCCTCATTTCTGAGGGGTTTGATTTTTTTGCAAACGCTGAGCAAGAATGTGCGTATAGTAGCGTTGCAAATCTGCCATTTCACAGTCACACTAACATCATGGTGTTATGGGTGATCCATGGTGGCATATTTTACTCTGGGCTTAACTTACTCATCACAGTTCCGCCAACAATCACAAAATTACCTGGGTACAATAACTTTTCGACTATTTCTAATAGTTGTAATTTAACATTTTAGAACAGCATATTGGACCGGAGTTCAAATCCACCTTCGCATACTGCGGCCTCGATGACTTGGTAGTATTGAAATCTCTGAAATATCACGTATTCTTCATGGTTTATTAGGTAACTGTTCTTATAACGGGAAGCTAAACTACATTCTGGATTTTTCGGATCTTTTATTAGGAGATTTTCCCTTGCTAACTCATATGATTCGTTTTAATTATATTCTAAAAGTAAGAACACTTTTAGATAAGTTTCAAAGTCATTCACATTTCATTGAGCAAGTTCACAGTAATGTTTTCCAATTTTATTGGTTTACTTTTGTAGAAACAAAATGTTTTTTTTGAGTATTCTTTAATTATGTAGCCAGTTTTATTTGAATATGTACTATGAGAATATACTGATTGTTAGTTCACTTAGGCTATCTTCAGTAGTTACTGTGTACACTAATTGTGTGAAGAATTTCTTTGTGAATTAAGTGACGCTTGCGTGAAATTTAAGCATCTTATAAAGCTACCAATTAGACAGACTTTAGAGTGTCAACAGTTTTTATTCTTGTGAATTTATATCTTATAGGCTTTACCACTCAACTTTGAGCGAGCGAGTTTATGATGCGAATCCCACCCCACCTTCTCCACCACGAACGACTGGGTACTATAACTAACCAAAAAATGAGTGTAGCACGAACACTGGCATATGAAAACCAGAATCTGTTTGAGTTAACTAAATCCCAAACTCTTATTTCTATCACTGTCTGAATTGAATTCAACGCACTTAAGATATTCTTAGATGTACTATTTTCTTATATTTCAGCTGCAGAAGGGAATTAGTAACGTTCGTAAATCTATTTTATTATTGAAAATATTTAATTTTAAGTTAATGTTTTAACCTTCTCCGACCGCTATTTCCTCTCCATTTGCCACCTGTTACAGTGAATCTCAATGTAGACTTTAGAATTATGTCAAAAGGTACTGTTTTTAAATCAGCAGTGAATTCAGGCTTATAGGATGTCGAACAAAGTAGGTCTCTACAAACCAGAGACGTATTAATGGTGATATCAATAGAAAGTTTAAAATCCTTTGTGTACTTGACAATGCTGTTGTATCGAGGAGTCTTATCTTCAGGTGTTTTCCGTTGAAGACTTATTATTGGCTTAGTAGTTCAGTAGCATTTTTATTCAAGTAAACGTACTTTTTGTCCCAATTTACTGTTATTTCCTACATTATTTGTTGAAAGAAATTGTACTAAATATTATTTATGTCCTTGAATTTATTAGCTATGTACGAGCTCCTCGTGTGATTTCCCCGACATTGATCATTCATGGCACTGAGGATGATATAATCGATCGAGTGCATGCACAACGATTGTATGAACGAATTCCAAATACTTTGGAACCACTGTTTATTCGTGGAGCGGGTCATAATGATTGTGAATTGTATGAAGAATATCTTATTCGTTTGGAATACTTAGTTCATGTTGAAGTAGAAGGCGCTAGCCTAATACATCTTTCACATGAATCAAATGAAGTTAGTGAGAATGTCAGGCCTAGTAACCGATTGTCAAAATACTTGAATTGGAATCGCAAATCCAATACAAAGCTCAGTCAAATTTCACCGAATAGACTTAAAAGTAAAGCCAAATCATTGAAAGAAGAATCAAAAAACGCTGGACAGTCTAGTACAATGCATACGAACACACTTAATCTTCACCCGGAAAGAACAGTTTCATCATTTACTCCAATGTGGATGCGAAAACGTGGAATTCATGGATCATATAGGTATGTTGGTAACAATAAAAATATTGAGAAGCGTAGATGTAAACGGATTCATTCATTATCAGATGCACCTTCTGAAAGATCTGAAACCAATGTAACTCCAAAAAAGGCTGAAATCAGGTTAGAATTTTCAGATAGTGATAATCCAACTAGTGAAACAGATAAGAAAAATTGTAAACCAACAGTGAGTACAAGAAACACTGACTAGTAATTTTACCTTTTAAAATTTTCTATCTCATTTTACTTACTACACATTTCTGAAGTGAATTCATTCATTGTTGAATTGTCTTCCACTTAGTTAGTATTAGTTGAGATTTTGAAATCTTATTTTGCCTTCAAGATTTATGAACTTTTTGAACTCAATCTTTAGGCCTTTTCATAATGAAAACAATTTTCAACTAATGCATTCTGTACATATACATAACTGCTTCCAGTGGTGTTATGTTTCGTTTTTTCATGTTTCTTATTGTCGCTTAATGAATATAGTTAATTTATCAAATGTATATAGGTTATAAATATGATTTGTACTAACAGATAATAATTATTGATTAATATATTATTTGTTGTTAGATCATCTTTGTTGTACATAACACTAGAATACATTTTAAATGTAACATTGTAATTGAAAGACTTCTTTTACTTTAATGCTCTAATAATCCAAATTGGAGTTAACTGTTGAGTAGAATTTTACCGTGATCGATCATGTCGGCAACACTTGTCTTTTCTAGGTAGTTCCAATATGCGTTATATTGGAAAGAAGCAGTTGTATGGTTACACTTAACAATAGGTACTTATTTGTAGGACTAGTGTTTAATTTAGGGTACTTAGATCCTAGGCTTTCTTCTGGGTCTAAATCTACTTTGCTCGGCACAATCGGTCAATTGATCTTTTGCATTATTCTTTTTATCGGTACACTGAAGATATTTTCAGGTTGTGTTCTAGGTGTTGTGACTAATTTACTGCAGCTTTTCAAACTGCTGCATACTGAGGTTTTCAGAAGAGAAAAACCTGCGTTTGGTTATGTGTATATTGTTTAAAGCTCTAAGTAATCTGTAGGATTTCTAATATGGGATGTTGTTATTTTGATGCGAATTTTAGCGCTCGTGAAAAATATCGAGTTTGCGTCGAAGTTAAAAAATCCATATTAATTAGCTTGCCATATATATGTAAATATGTATTTCTAAAAAAAGCTGATTATGATCAAAGTCACTAAATATACTCTTGTTTCAGAAGATATATATATATATTTCCAAGATACAACCGAGCAACCAATTCTGTAGAATACCACGTAGCTTCAAGCCATATAAATTGTCTGAAGGAGACAAAAATCAAATGATGGACCAAATCAGAGTCTCACACAGATACTTCGGAAAAATAACAAAGATTGGACTAATTGCATTATGTTAAATAAATATGCGTAGGAAACAAGAAAAATCAGTCGGTGGGAAGATTCGAAATTCCTATGACAATGTGTACCTGTGCTACTACGTTCGATTTGCTGTCTTACCACCAGAAGTTTGCATTTATTGACTCTCAATTGTTGCTGCTGGCTACGCAGATCTGTCCGACCAGTAGTCAGAATTCATAGATCAATAAGTCTTAATCTAACCGTTTTTTCGGCTTTTATCACTTAGCTTCGCTACAACCAAAACTGGGCATTAAGTTAGAATAAGTGTAACACATGTCCCAGTCGCTTTAGCTTATTCAGATTTATAAACTGCTTAATCAGTATATCTTGTCTACCGAAGGCCCTATGTCTGGCTTTATTATTGTTAACTCCATGGTCCCATTACATGTGCAGATATGGCTCAAGCAGTTGACTTTCATTGTGTCTCAGGTTCGAAGGCCGGTCTGAACAACTAGATAGTATAATCATCCCTCACACAATAACTGTAGCTCATAGATTAGCCCATGAAAAATTCACTAAGGGTAACTGAGTTCTAAGTAAAGACATTTATGTTTTTAAAAGATACGTACTAATCTGGACTTAACATTAAAGAAAAGCTGAATTTTTAAAGAACTACAAATGCATGACTCTGTCTGTCTGTTTTCGATATAGGGCTTTGCACCAATGTGCAGCAGTTCAAGTCGTTACACTCTATGTAGCACACAAAACAAGAGAAGAAAGTAGAAGAAATGCATAATAGAGACAGTAGACAGGGATATGAGACAAAGGAATAGTAATAATGCAGAACAATATAGTTTCACTGGAAATTATGAGTCACAAGGAGTGGGTGCATCTCCGCCATTGAGAACGATTTTGAGCCATATCACCAATTGTCTCCAGCCATTGGTTTTTACCGTCCCGAGGACCCCAACCAGAAAGTCTACACCTTCCTACGTGACTGGTTTGAACTAACTGTTGTGGATTTCATTGACTGGTGCCATGCTTTGGTTTGACCACAACGAGCTCTTTTCCAACCTGACTCTATGTCAGCTAACATTGCCCGTCGAGGAAGGCGATGGCTAGACATGCGTAAACATGTCCTAACTATCTCAAATCGATGTAACTTCACAATCTCATCCATTGATTTCCCCTCCTTACCTAGTACTCGATGCTTGACCTCAACATTGCTCACCCTCGTATACCATTTCACACGGCAGATAGAAGGCAAGCACCTATGATCAAAGACAGCTAATCTTTTCATGTCTTCCACTTTGAATGACCATGTCTCATAGCGATAAAGGAGGACGGAGCGGACTGCTGAGCAGTACCACACGCCCTTTTGTCGATAGCCGGATAACACGTCTACGACAGAGAGAGGATGTAAACTGGCATATGCGAAACGAGCCTTCTTTATCCGTCCTGAGATTTCGTCAGCAACCGAACCTTTGGCATTGGCTGATGCAACTTCCCACATAAGTGAAGCGGTCAACACATACATAGCTGAACTTAAGTATTAAGGAATCTATCTAGGACAGACAATTTTTTCAGCAAAATACTACGAATGAAGGTTGCCGTAATTCAAGAGCAAACAGGAGGTTGATGAAATAGACTTTAAAAATTCATCTCGTATTATAATCCTAGGCGCTGCCTCCTGAAGAAGACTGTATTGGTGACTTTTCTCCACTTCCATTTCATTTGTAAGGGAATTGACGAAGTCGTCAGACTTAAAATATGGTCGCATGGTGTTCACCCAAATGGGCGGTGGAGAATTCAGTCAAAGTCTAGAAAAAGGCAATTAAATTAATAAACTCCATTGAGACATAAATCTGAGATTTCAGGGAAGAAACTGATTTTATTTCATTTCTTAATAAATATATTTGTTATTGTCCATTGTAATCGATATATGCATACGAGTGTATGGCTAGGAAAATAGAATCTTCACAAAGACATTTTTCTTTTCTGAAAAAGATACGTGAAAACAAGAATTTTGAAAAAACGTCCATTCATTGTTAAACATATTTCTTTATAACTACCGTCTTTTTTGATATTCTTCTTATTGCATACAAGTGAATGCAGCTATTCTGAACTTGTAGACTATAAGTTCTTCCTTCTGTAAAGCTTAGAATATATTTTTAAGAACCAATGATTAGTATTTCACTGACTGTCTTTCTTAGTTTAATTGAATTTGAGATTTTCCCGTCGATTGATTGGACTGAAGTGCTAGGTCTCAGTTTGACATGTCGGCTTCTTGTGCAGATGCTTCGACGATGTCTGGACATTTAATTAGTATTTAACTGGTGGATGGTGACTAGCAGTGGAAACCAAGATGCACATTTCGTCCTATTTGGGACTCGTCATCTGGATGTATCTGCATTTACCTGCATCATCACTCACCGAGAAACGCAGGTACATCCAGATGACGAGTGCCGAATAGGACGAAATGCGCATCCTGGATTCCACTGCTAGTCACCATCCACCAGTCGAAGTTGAGTGGAAAGTAGATAACATTTGAGACTTGAAAGTCGGCTTCTAGATTATCAGCCGGTAATTGTTAACTTCGTTATCATATGTAACTGTTCATCCAGCTTATTATTTCACTTCAAATCAGTATTTCTTTTACTAGACAACTGCCAGCCATATAAATTGGAGCTATGCAAATATTTGTTATTCATTATATTGGCTTTCAATTAAGTTATGTATATTTTTTCTCAAATTCCAGATGAATTAATTCAGAAAGAGATTATGATTAATTTATTTTTTGTTGATTAGATTAAAGGACTGAACAGCAATTCAGAGGCTATTAACTCTAATTTCACTAAGATCTAAATTTTTTTTCTCCAGTTTGAATTATCAGGTCATGTTTATGGATTTCAATTTGCCTAGCCAAACTATCCCCCAGTAGCCTAATTGAATTTTCATTCTTGGCTATATGGGTATATGTTATAAATCTTCATTTTCTGCTGGAAATTTTTTTTGTCAGAAATCAATTTTCAGAGAAGAATTTAAATTGGCGATAGTTGGAAATGAAAACCTGAATCTTAGCTCAGTCTTATCTGAAACCGATTGAACACTGGACTGTGTTAAAATTGTAGAAGGTGAACAGCCAGTTGGTTATTATAATCTAGACTAAATTTTTCATCAGTAATTGATAGTAAGTAAAGATCAGAAAAATACAATATACCTATGGAAGTGTATGGGTAATTCTTACTTCCCACCTTCTTACACCGTAATGTTTGAAACAGAAGAAGCAGTAGTGTTGCATTACCCCAGTATTCGGTAGAAAACTGTTCGAGGCCGGTCGCACACAGCTTGTTTGAAATGAATTTCAGGATTGTGTTCTCTGCATAGTAAATAGTAGTAAACAGTTTTCGAAGTGGAATACTCCTACCTCATGCGGAGAGACACAATAACTTGCTTGCTGGTGTGTTACTGCTGTTACCTCCCTATTCTCTATCAATATGGCTTCGCCCAGAAATCCTCAACACAGTGTAAATGCCCTACACTATGATGATAATTGCTTTTAGTCTAACTGCTATCCACACCACCTTCCTAGTATGGTAAGATCTTCAGAAACACTTGTTCCAGCCAGTTTAACTGGTTGGGTCATTGCGATATACAACCCCGACCATCACGTTTAAGTAGCAGCTACTGTCAGTGATATTAAATCATGGGAAATCGAGAAACAGAAAAAACAACAACCAAACAATGTTTGATCGCGATTTACGCTAACATCCTGTGAAATTGAACACAGAGATTAAATTAACGTATCAATGGCCTGAAGAGCTCATAAAGAAAAGTATCGAATATTTTCAAATCCTTTACTAAATGTCTAACACAGGTAAAATACATGAATTGCGCAATCGCAGTCATTTCGAAATAATCAAAATTCTTTTTTATAAAATATAGAATTTGTGTCTGTTGTATTTACACACACACACACACACACACACACACACACACATTTTTACCCTACTCATCAAATAGAAAAAATTTTTAATGAATTAATTCAACTAAGCTAAATTGCCAGTGAAAATTTTCTTTAAAGTATCGTATACTGCAAATAACTGCGGAGAATCCACAAAGTAACTTTAAAAATTATATATATATATATATATATATATATATCAGATTCAATGTCTCTCTATCCTCCAACACTTACTTCAATGCAAACTACTCTTAAACAGCATGTTGCTACAATGTATTTTATTGCATTAAAAAGTAGAATAATAAGAAACTTCTTGCATCTCTTAGTCCTGAACAACGG